TGGCCTCCCCAACTTTGTCTAGTAACTGGTAGTGTCGTTTTTCTTTTTGAGCGAGTATAGAGGATAAAGTGGTCAATGTAGTTCTGAGGAGAAATAACAAGTGCATCAACATTAACCAAGGACTTGAGCCTTAACAGGGAACACAGAAGAGTGTTTAAAGCAGTCCAAATTATGGTTTAAGAAAAAAAAACAGTAGCAAACTGCCACATGGTTAGATTAAATCTAATTAAGATCTAAAATTATTCACTTACACAGAACAGCTTTGGAGTAAAGCCTCTGAACATGAATGGCTTTCCTACATCTCTTGTTTCCTGCCGTCTCTTTTTATCAATCAATACCTCCTGATAGGTATGAATGCACTTCTAACAGAATCGTGTGTTTGGTAGTTTTAACCTTGTTACCAGCAGTAGATGCTTTCTTGGCACTTTGGAAATTTCATGGCCAGACCTGTGTTTGAGTACAGGTTATAGCTACAACTTCAAACTAGAGACCTATACAGTAATTAAGTTTAATTTAATTTCTTGTTGGATGACTTTGTGTTTTAGGATCGGATCATTGATGCTGGGCCGAAGGGGAACGAGGCACGCTTCATGAACCACAGCTGTCAGCCAAACTGTGAGACGCAGAAGTGGACGGTGAACGGTGACACCCGGGTGGGACTGTTCGCTCTCATCGACATTGCCGCAGGTTCGCCGCCTCTTACAGATCAGAAGATAGAAGTTGTTTCTATCTTGATGTTTGGTGATGCCAGCAAGCCACTCTCACTCATTTGTGTTTATCCTTTCAGGCACAGAGCTCACCTTCAACTACAACCTGGAGTGTTTGGGCAACAGGAAGACAGTGTGTAAATGTGGAGCATCAAACTGCAGCGGCTTCTTAGGCCTCAGGCCAAAGGTGAGAGGAGGGACACGCCACAAAAATTAATAACCACCTGTGTTTGTTTGGGAATAACCTACTCCTCTGCTCTCTGAACCAGAACAACCCCCCGCCTGATGATAAAGATCGCAAGCTGAAGAGGAGAGGTCACGGCAAGAGGAAGAAAAAGGTGGTGTTGACCAAAGAAAGGGAGGACGAGTGTTTCATCTGCGGAGACGGAGGACAGATGGTGTCATGTAAAAAACCTGGATGTCCCAAGGTTTACCATGCAGACTGCCTGAACCTCACCAAGAGGCCTGCAGGTCAGTGACTTAATTTATTTAGGATTTTCTCTAATCCACACAATATCACCCAGTTTTTATGAAAATAAAATGTAGGATGGTCCCAAAACAGATCTATGCCACCAAATGTTTATTACAGCTGGTGGAAATGTTGTTGTGGTCCTCAGTGAAATAAAGATTCCTTAATGTTCTTGCATTTGTTGTAGGTCGGTGGGAATGTCCGTGGCACCAGTGTGACATATGCAGTAAGGAGGCTGCGTCCTTCTGCGAACTGTGCGTCAGTTCCTACTGCTGCCAGCACCGTGACGGCCTGCTCTTCATCTCCAAACTGGACGGCAAGCTGTCCTGTAGTGCCCATGACCCCTGCGGGGAACCGCTAGAAGCAGGCGAGATCCGAGAGTACACACCCGAACCCACAGCCCTCACCTCGGGGCTGGGCATGGCGGTCATTCCCTCCTCTGCTACTAACACTACCTGCAACGTTAACCCGACTGCCAGGAGGGCCTGGGACGTAAGCACCGGTGCCGGCATGTGCGCGTCAGAGTCCTTTCCTGCTTTTTCCATCCCAGTACCTATCACTATTCCCGTCGCAGCTCCTGCAACGTCGCCTCCTCCCAGTAGTTCTGATGCTCCCAGCAGCCCGCACGTGTTCGACCTCCCCCACTACTCGCCCATCTCCTCATATGAGGAGGAGAGGGATGTCTTGGAGGAAGACCTGTTGGCTGAAGAAGAGGAGGAGGAGGAGGAGCTGTTGGAAGAGGGTGATGCAGAGAGGCATAAATCAGACACTAGTGAAGACGACAGAGAGACGGTAATGGAGGAGGAGGGGGTCGAATACCTGGAGCTCAAAGATGAAGAAGAAGAGGAGGAGGAGGATGAAGAAGAGGAGTGACGCACAGAGGATCATTATTTACAGAGTCACTACAGTGAGGAAGCACATGGAGGTTACTCAGTTACAGTCACTGTTAATGTTCAGTATTCAGTTGGATGTATGGAGGGGCTTTTAGGAGAAAACTACATTTAAAAAAATAAACAAATTGTGAGGTTTATAAATAAAAAATATAATATAATATAATTTATGTATACACTGACACACATCCAACAATTTTGCAGTTTATTTATGCTTGCATTACATGTAGTTTTACCCTGGTAATCACTCCCTACCTCCATCTACACACCTGCTATGAGTGCACAAAAACTATCCGGACCCGGGACATCAATCATGAGACTTGGAAACACATTTCATCTTTTTTTGTTTTGTTTTCTCACATGTTTGTTGGAGGTGTAGGTCAGGTGTCCTATGAAGCTTTGTGCAGTTAGAGGCAGATGTTTTATGCTAGAAAAGAGAGTCACAGCTGGGCTCGGTTTGTGACTTCTACTGAGTTAAATCGGGATTATGTTTACATCCGTGCAGTTTGAGGCCGTGTCAGAAAAACGTTGTATTTGTCTAGAATTAAACTAGCTGAAGTTCTCTGTGTCCTTTTTAAAGCTTTTCTTTCTAATCTGAACACTGTTGAACCACCACAACCAACTCGCCCTTGTGGTCCAGTTGTCGGGACGCACGATGCTGGCAACACCTGCCACAAAGGCCCGAGTCAACGTACACGCAGGACTCCATATCCTGGGAATATTAATTGTTGCTTATATTAAATCCACTCTCCTCTCCATTTCCAGTTCTTCATGATGACTCACATCAATTAGTTGGTGCTTCAAGATCCAGGACTACCAGTGAAGATATGACAGGCTGCCTGGAGTAGTCTTAACCATGCCAACTTTGTCTTTCCTGGTGTTGTTGGGAAAAACAAAATGCAGTATAATGGAATCAACTGTTTTTTAATACATGTAGATTTGGTTTGCAGCTACAAATAGACTCTAGATTCGAACATTTCATGCCAAAAAAAAAAGATTAACTGTTTGAAAGTTAAAGTGTGAAAGATTTCGTGCCATCCTGGGACATTCAGCTCCACTGTTGTTGGACTGCAGGCTCACGTCGTCCAACAACTAATGGTGTGCAACGCGAAATGAACGCTCAGCCTTGCCCTTGCAGTCGGAAAGAAAAGGTAGCACTCAGTTGGCTCCAGTGTGTGTGCTGTGCTCTGTAGTCATTATTTATTCGCTGGTCTGTGACGCACAAACGGTGACGAGGGAGGGAGGGAGAGCGGCGGGGTCGATGCCCTCCTCCCTCGTTCTTGACCCCCGCACTTCTCGGGGAAACAAAAGTCTTTCGGAGGGAGCAAAAACGTTTGAAACGGCGGACTCCTGTCACCACGCTTGCACTTGGGTATGTGTTCTTGCCACGTTTCGCTCTGTCTTCAAGCTTAATATTGTCTGTGTGTTATCTGCCAATGCCTTAGAGTGTATTTCTTTGGAGATATTTTTAAGGAACAATGTCGCCCCTGTGAGAGCCAAGTTTCCCTACTAATGCCTTTTTACAGTTGCCCAACAAGAAATGTCTCATTCCAGTGTAATTATGTTAGATCTCAACCACTGACCTGTCAAAACAACTGCTATATAAATATATAAGAAGACATGAAATAAGCATCTTGTGGCTCGTATCTTTTTTTTTGTTTTGAGATTAATAATTATAAATCTGAAAAGAGATCTGTGAGATACTTGGATGCTTTTTAAAGCCAATAATGTCAATTTTTAAAATAATTACATTATACCACATTATTATTTAATTAAAATAAATCACACAAGTCAAGGATCCAAATTAGTATGTTTTCACTACTATAGATATATAGAAATATATTTTTTTTTAATATGATATTTTGTGAATTATCAAAATTTTCTTTTTTATAACGACAGGACAGTCTGGGCAATAAGTTACAACTTTTTCCATTATTTTCCATTTATTTCTTACAATTTATGCCCAAAGAGTCATGGTGACAGATTTCCTTCATTGCAGCATTTTTTTATGCTTTTGAAATTGCACTTATTTTTCTAATACTAAAATATGTCATGGATTAAGTGTGTAGTTAAAACTTATTTATATCAAGAAAAAGGAGTTTCACTGGTCCGATCCACTAAAGTGGGCTGTAAGTGTGGGATAAAAAGCCAAACATACCAACCTGAATCAAAAAGGTTTTTAGTATTCCTCGAATTCACTTCTGTAGGCAAACGTGCAAAGATTTATGCTGATATGCAATCCAATGCCAAAATTGCGCATATACAGTATTTTTGTCAGTCTTTGCCAAATATTACACACAAGCAAAATACTGTGGATCAATTCAAACTTACAATCTATCTGCGTTCTGAAACATTCTTGGAATGAGCCTTTTATTTTTCAGAACAGATGTGGACATCAGTTGTTTTTTAAAAAATATTTGCATCAATATTGAACATCAACACATCAAAGCAGCAACCTACAAGTCCATTGCGCAGTACAACTTAAAAGGCAATAAATTAGTGACTCGAATCTTAAATATAGCTTTAAATGTTTGTGGGACATTACAATGTTAGCCCACGAGGCTTTTCACTGATCGTCCTTCTGCAGAAGAGCTTCTTCCTGAAATCATTTGAACATTCCAAGATTTTCCTGCTAGAAATCTGTCAGATATATTTCTTTCTTTGAGAGATGCATTCAAACTTAGAAAAACAGTAGATTATTTGTAGAAAAGTAACATTCCCTAAAAATGTTCTTTTAGGCAGCTCAGGCCATGCAATTTAATTACAGATATGTGGGCGTGTTGTTAGTCACCTCCTTAAAACCAGCTTATTTTTCGGACATTTTTACAGAAATTGTAGCTTATGATGCAAAACAGATCTGTTTTAGCAGCATTTAGTGTTCTTGCTGTGTTGGACACAGCAATTGGACTTCATACTGGATTTTTTTTGGGGGGGGGGGGGGGGGGGAATTTACACCCAATTCAGGCATTATTATTTAAATTATTTTGTCTTTGGGAATTATGCTTTTTGGGCCACAGTTTTTGGGGGGTTTTGTGGGTGTTGGTGCACTACCTTGAGTGGCAACTAGGACAAATGCACAACAAGTCTGAGTAGTGGCAGCGTACGGCGCTTTCGTGGCTGACACATGGCAAAAGATGTACTGTTACTGTAAAGGCCTCTATAAAGAAAAATGTCGTGTGTTTTGCCAGTTTTTCAAGTATTTCACTTAAAAATGCAGCGGGTAGAAAACTAGAAAAGACAAACCAAGATTGTGCCAGAATCTACAACCTTCATCCTGAAGCATGAGCTTAGTTTGGTCTCCACACAGGATTCAAACCCTACTCTTCTGGGTAAAAATTCTTCTGCAAAACCCAATAAGCTACCACATATGAATTCTTACTCAGGCTTTTTCTTTTTTTTAAGCTTAACTGATTGATTTCTTTTAAAGCCTAAAATCAGAGCGTAGAGGAGTTGCATGAGTCTAGCGCCCTCTTGAAAGGTTATTATGGGTCATGTTGCCTACCCCGGCTTTAATTAAGAGCAGGAACACAAGTAGTTTTCTGACACACTTCATCCTAGCTGGCTTCTCCATCTGTGTAGCCTTGCCTGAACATGAGCAGGACTGACAGATGTGTTTCCACAACAATGTTAAATACAGTTGGAGGTAAACAAAATCAGCATTTGCAAACAAACAACTCCCCCTCCCAAAACACAGCAACCGCTAAAACACACAGCATCAATCGAGTTCTCTTTCAGTCTGGCTTCAGTGAGGATCCCACACCCTTACCACTGCAGGCTGTTGTCCAACCACAGTGTTGCTTCTGATTGTTTAACACTGTGAACTTGGGGAGGCTTATCGCCCTGTGGGCTGCAGGAAAGTCACAAGTTGATATGGTGATAAATATGAATAACTTGGTGAAAAAAGTGGGCGTGGTGGTCTTTAAGTCCCTCACCACCCAGCAGTTGAGGATCCTCTTCCCCAAAGTCTTGCAGCTCTCAGTTCATTATGGCACAAAAGAAAAAAAGAAACATATCCAACAAAGTATAAAGAGTTTTGTTTGATTTTCCTTTTTGTGATTTGGTACCACATTCATAGATGAGTTACAGCTTTCCAGCATTTCCAGGTTTGACTCCAGCTGAGGGAATGCAAACACTTCCTGTCCTGCTCCTCAGCATCAGTTGTTGTGACAACAGGAGTAGAAATAAGAGTCCTTCTTCTGGCCTAAGTCGACGCCCGTTTCCTCTGCTATGAAACAAAAGTGATAGGACTTTAAATTAGTTTGAGATCATTTCCAGGAGATAAACACATTGCATATTGCTTTTACATTTTGATAGTTTGTATAGATTAGAGAAAGTCCTGCCAAACCTAAGGAAACCTGTTTCACCCATTTCCCATTTAAGTTAATTAGCTGAAAGCTCTAACTTTATATTCACATCTAAAAGACTGGTACTGGTCTTTTTTCCCCAAAATTTTAGCAACAAAGATAATAGATATATTTCTCCAAAGTCTAAACTTTTCTATAAGGTCCCGCGTCTACTATATTATAGGTCAGTAATTTGTAACTTACTCCATTTTATGATGGTGTTCCTCAGGGATCATTTCTGGGACCACTGATATTTTCTAAGTATGAATGGCTACTTCATATCACTTGTGTCACAGTTAATTTCTGCTTTTTTATTTTGGATTAATACTATTTAAAAGCCCAAAATGTGATCCCTCATGCACCATCCCATCTGAGCACTAATACTGTAGTGTCTAAATCTCAGCTATACATTTACCAAACAGAAATTCTTGGACCAAAAAAAAAAGAAAAAAAAGAACGAACAATTGGTCTCAGCATTGTTTATTTATTACATATTCTGAAAGGATTTTTATTAATTTCTGTGCAAAAAAGTTTTGTTTTTTTTAAATCCATGAATTTTGTTTGTGAAATGTTATAACTTGGTTTCTTATTTTTTTATTTTAAAAAGTATTTGTTTTAATACTACTAGAAAAAAATCTTTAGATATAAAGTATGTTGACTTGTATTCCATATAACTGTATGCTAGTTTAACATCATAATATAGATGAACTATTGATTTTGATGGAGTAACAACAAATTGCAATAAAGTAAATTAAATATAAAGTCATTAAATAAAAGTCAAGGGCTTTTATTTGTAATCCTTTGTTACTTCCATGCTTTTCTTTAATTCAAACACGTTTGTGGATGTGTAACATTTTTAATATTTTCTGCACAGATGCTAAACCTTTAACTTTAAAAAATTAGATTTTCCTGAAAGTTCTGCAGTAAATTCTGCTACGGATAACATAACTTCAAACAAATTTCCATTACCCTTGCCACATGAATTGATATAAAGATAACAAAAACAATCTGTGTACATGAACGACACGCTTACCTGTCATATACTGGAAAGCAGTGCTGTTGTAATCCTCTGCAACTTTCTGGAATAACTCATCTGGAAAGCAGAGGAAGAATGAGGCCTGTCAGTTTCCATCAGTTCGTATCTGTCATGGCCAACAAAAACAAGCCAACTCACATTCCTAAAACCTGGTGTACAGCACGCAATAGCTTCTTTTAGTGTAAGCAGGCTGATAAGGGATGCTCCAAAACCTGCATCCAGCGAGAGAATGCTAAAAGCCACAAAGGAGACAACGCTCTTGTTCTAATTAGACTTTAATCATCAGATTCAGCCATGGCCTCACACTAGAATACTGGCAATAATCTACCAATTAATTAATCCATTCATTAAGCTTCTTAGATTAAATATTTTCTCTTGTCAGGAAGTAAATTAAATATGTCTGGCTGTGATTAGCGGAAAATTATGGTAACACTCTTTGATCACACTCGCATAAAAAAAGAGAAACACTCTTAAGTGCACAAAATTTATCAGTACATATTAAAACTATGTGCTAATAAGTAACTTAAAAATAACATTTGTCCAGTTCATGTCAGCTGTTTTGTTTGAAGAAGGGTGTGAAAATATGCAGAGATTCTCTTGGGTAAACAAAAATAAAAGGTGGACTTGGGTGAATCAGTAACCTACTTTTTATGCCATTTTGGTGGATTTTGTCATGTCAGTTTGTCCCTGTTTGATTCTGGCTACACACACCAATTCGAAAACCTCATGATGCACTACTCAGATCTTAAGCGGTCACCCTGTGTAACCTTCCTTCTGCCTCCTGTTTTTGTGAAGAAATGTGTCTAAGTTTGACCCCTGTGTTGCATTTTTACAGACAGAAAAGCTGCCAAAGAGCAACAGTTTTGATACTCTTGAAATGTTTCCAATCAAAAACTGAAAGGCTTTCATTTGCACATACAACACTGCTAAGAATACATTTAATCCAAAACTGAGTGGGTATCTGCAGCAGCTTCAAGCGTCTTTTATGAGGAGCCAACTTGTATCTGCCATGCTGTGTTCTGACCATCCTCTGATCATCCTGCATGTTAACGAAAACATACCCATATTTTTAATGCTACAGCTCACTTCCTCACTCATCAAAACCACGAATGAATGAATGAGGCTGCGGTCAGAGCCAACAACCTGTGTTACATGAAGTCTTCCGGTGACTCGAGGTCGAACTCACCTACATTATTCCCCGTTTTACTGGAGGTCTCAAAGTGCTGTGCACCAATCTCTGTGAATATTAACCAGAACATTCAGGTTAAACATCAGTCAGTCTGAAGGACAAACTTATGTAAGTGAAGAGAAATTGTGTTTGTGTTGCAACTCGGGCTGATCACACAGAGAAAGCAGACAGAAGTTAGAGATTTCTTAACATCCTTTTAACAACATCCAGAGTGTTCACAAGCTCTTCAGTATACAGTCTTTCCCCCAGTTTCAAACATGACAGCGCACGTGGAAAATCCTGTTTCTAAGGTTAAATGATCAACTTTGTCAACACATCTGACTGGTCTCTTAAAGCTGTCTCGGATACAATTTTCAAGAAAAAGACGAGAAAATATCAGAAACATTCAAGGAATCAACTATAAATCATTTTTCCACAGCTGAAGAGCATTTATAGAGTTCAAACACATATTTACAGTATATAAAGTAAGGAAAATGACTCATGTACTAAACACTCAGGGTATTTTTAAGTGACACTGTGGATACAACTGAAACTGTCTGTGATCGTCTGTAAATTTGTTCACATATAAAAGACAAAGTTGACTAGCTTTATATCAATAAACAACCAAACTAGGTTTTTTTATTCTTCCATGTTTTATGTATTTATGTTTACATTTTAGAAAATTATGAATGCCTCAACTTTAGGAATTAGAAAATTTCGAAAATCAGAAATCAGTAACCTGAAAGAAACCACAAGACTATTGCTCAACTGTTTTCATAAGTAATGCATACTGTTAAGCATACTGATGTTAATTCACTTCTGACCAGGCCACCGTCTCAGAAAGAAAACATGTTACAGCATAATCTTTCTGCATGTCTACACTCCACTGGGCTCACCTTCAGCAAAGTCCTGAGCGTCGTGGTAGTCGATTTTGCGAAGACTCCGGTCTTCCTGGATCAGGTCGCTCTTGGTGCCACACAGGTAGATCTTACAGTGCTGCAGTGCACAACACACCAGAATAAAACACAATGTCCATTACTGACATGATGGAAATTTCAGAAATCCAATGTGGGACTTCAGCTTCAAGTAAACCTCGCTGACAGCAGACTGTGCGGCCACAGATAGTAATAACACATACATTTATCTGGATCAATAAAACAATCAAATAAAATAAAAACAATCTTCCATAAGGTTGTGGACTGAACTCTTATATTTTTTTTACTACAAACTGAACCATCTGATCACATCCATCAAGCTGAGTCTTATTTGATTAGATATTGCCTGCTTTAAATATATGGTACTTTCAGCTGTGTAAAGGACTGAAATAGAGTTCAGAATGAGACAGTGTTTTTTCAGTGCTTCATTATCCTAACAGATGCATATAAACTGACTGCTTTACAAAATGGAGGCCGGATTACCTCAGAGGCAATTACACTGAAACCCCAATTTAGCAACCAACACAGCCAACTAGCAGAGTTACACCATCATAATATAATTTTATTGTATAAATCGGCTATTGTATAAACGCAATTTGCTAACTTTACTTATGGTGTAAAACTGAATGCCCCCAAAACCCTTTTGAGCTTCCATATTAAGATGACTGTTGGGCGTGTGAAGAAAAAAAAAAAAAAAAAAAATCACATATCAAATGACGTGCAATCATTTCAATGAAAGAAACCATCTTACCTCCTCGTAGTTTTGCAGCTCTTTGACCCAGAAGCGAGCTCGCTGGAAGCTGCTGCTGTCAGTCAGATCTGAAAGCCAAAAATATACAGCAGACTTTTCAGTATTCAACATCCTTGTCTAGACACACACACTAGTGCTGCCACGATTAGTCGACTAGTCACGATTACGTCGACTATCAAAATCGTCGACGACTGATTTAATAGTCGACGCGTCGTTTGAAGCTTTGTAAGATCACAAAAGACGCAGGAATAAGTGGCAGGATTTAAGAGTGTAATAACGGACTGAAACAGAAGATGGCAGCATTGCATGTACAAGGATGTCAGCTACCGTTAAACCCCGAAGAAGAAGAAGAAGCAGCTGTGTCCCAGAATTCATAGCGCGGCCCAGCGCAGTTTCCAACAATGGCGGCAGCTAGTTAGTTTTAATGTTACTCTTATTATTCTTTCTGGGTCACAAAATAAACGTTTAACATATTTTCAGGCGAGAATGTAACTGTGTAAACCTCAAATATCTGCTCAGTTTATCAGGACACCACATATTTTCAAAAGCGCTCCGACGTTTTCAGAGACGTCTGTTACCCACTAGCTCGTTAGCGAGCCGGGGGCGAGGCTCACTAGCGCTGTGAGAACACCGGACTCCCCACAAATCGTTTTCAAACCCACCGCTGTCTTTCGCTACTCAGGTTGAATATATATGAGTCACTTAGATAACTTAAAATGTTATTGTTTGGCTTTTTTTTTTTAGTATTTTATTTGTTCCTGAGTAAATCGGTTTGTCTGAGATTAAAGTTATAGTTTTTACACAGCTGAATAAACGTCAAGCAGACAGCTGATTATCAGAAGTGTGAGATGCTCCAGAATATACTCCAGTGTCCTGTTATATTTTAGATAGCAAGGAGTTTATTAAACTCCACCGAAACAATCTGAAAACTTCATTAAAATTTAATAAACTATCATCTTGTCTTTATTTTTAGTTAGCACAGACCTTAAACACTTAAAGCTGTAAGCTAATGATAGTTATATAAGAGCAGATGCTGCTGGTGCAATAAGCTGTAGTTTTACGTCTAATGGATGATGATCTGATTAGTCGACTAATCGCAAAAATAATCGGTGACTAGTCGACTATCAAAATAATCGTTTGTGGCAGCCCTAACACACACACACACACACACACACACACACACACACACACACACACACACACACACACACACACACACACACACACACACACACACACACACACACACACACACAAATCCATACAGAGCAGGCACCCCATATTCGTCACACATTAAAACTAACAGCCAATCTGTCCATTATTTGTTTGATAATATAATTGATTAAATATGCTGAAAGATTAGGCTATAAGGTGAAATACAATCCAACTTAAGAAGGAGGAAGTTAAAGAAGAAAGATGTTAAACTAAACATCACAGCAGTGTGACTAATCTGCTGGGAAATGACTATCCACCGACTATTTTTACAAAGTTCCCCAATGTGGAAAAAAGACACAGATCTGAAAGCAGTTCAGGACTGGACAGTGGCTCTTTGGTTAGAGGCCAACACCACACCAACTAGTTTGCTTCTTAACACTTAAGCCAGGATTCCTTGATGCCGATTCTAGGAAATGGGGTAATACACTGAAAGAAAAAAAAAACTGATAATGCATTACTGCCGTTTAAAAGGATTGAGAAATATTGTATCCCTAAACTCAATTTCTTTTGCCATTGACAAATTTGATATTATAGATTGCAAAGCACAACCGTACATATCTTCTATCAGAAAGCTGTGGTTTCAAATGCCTAAAATGATAGCCGTTGTTGCCACCTGTGGTTTTTCCAAGACCTTAGATAGATGGAAATGGGACCTTTCTGTCACAATAAATGATACTGAATAGGAAGATATACAGAGATTACAGACTGGAATTGAAAACCGGTGCTGCTTGAGAACCGGTTTCAAATTTTCCACAGCACTGTCATATGTGCACAGTTGAAACAGCCCAAAGCATTGGTAGCTGTAATCTTGTAATCTGTAACATGATTATTTAAAGTCGGATTAAAATGCCCACAACATGCTGAAACATTTTTCTACACAACAGCTCAAACCGGACATCACAACACCAGTTTGATTTACACGTCACCTGCTGAAATCATCACCAGGTCGAGTCAGTGTACCTGCCTTTGAAGGATTCTCCTGACTGTTTTACAGAGTGCAGTGATGGGCAGGACGTCTCATTTATGAAATGGAAACTGCTGCCTCGAGTGAGCTGTGGTAGCACCGAGCAGAACTGGTACTGAAGCCGACCCACACTTTCGTTTTGACCCTCATAACTTCAGAATTTATAATAATAATAATAATAATAATAATAATAATGGATTGGATTTATATAGCGCTTTTCAAGGCACCCAAAGCGCTTTACAATGCCACTATTCATTCACTCTCACATTCACACACTGGTGGAGGCAAGCTACGGTTGTAGCCACAGCTGCCCTGGGGCTGCCATATCGCGCCATCGACCCCTCTGGCCAACACCAGTAGGCGGTAGGGTAAAGTGTCTTGCCGAAGGACACAACGACCAGGACAGAGAGCCCGGGGATCGAACCGGCGACCTTCCGGTTACAGATGCGCTTCCCAACCCCCCTGAGCTACAGTCGCCCAAATGAGGGTGGGAAAACAAAATCTGAAACTAAGAAAAGAAACGCAGGCCAAGCTGACTTGTCACAGTTCTTGTGGTCCCCTTGTAACACATTAACAGTCACGACTCACCTATTAAAAGAACGTATCATGAAATTCAACCTGGCTGTGACTGAAAGTGAGTGAACACCATCATCTTTATAAACCAGATATGCGCGTCATAATTATCAGCAACACTGTGCTAATTTGCACACCGGCCAACCTGACATTCTTGATACTGATACTCAAAGCTGCTTAACAAACGCGATTTTGTTGCAACACTGAAGTGGTTGTAAAATTGCTCTTAAATGTGTTTTTCAGCCCTAAACAAATTATTGTGCTAACTCATGTATTTAGGCTAAGTTTAAGTTACAAGGCACCAAAAACAGTGGAAAAACAAGGATAATTAAGAAGCACCAACTTTCAACACACACAACAAATATCAGCTGATTTTGACAGGAGGTCAGGGTGAGTATCCAGTGAAGTTATTAACGTAGGAATATCTCCTCTTCACTGTAAAAGTATAGATTTACCATAGCAGACGATGGCGGCTCGAGCTCCTCTGTAGTAGATTCTGCTCATGGCTTCGTAACGCTCTGATCCAGCTGTGTCCTGAGTGGGAAACACAAAAGAGATGAACTAACTGGAACTGGAACCTAAACAGTGATGAAATGATCAGGAGAGAAGCCTTAACTTTTTGTTTAAAGCTATCATAAACAGCTCAAATGCTTTATCTTTATGCCGCAACAGGCTGTGGTTCCAAAATTTTACAGGTCAAATTAATATTATGTATTTTTTTTTTACCTCTATTCTTATTACCATTTATATGAGATATGATAAAAACTACTTTCATTAATAACTATTTGCATCCACCCACACACACGCCATCATTTTTACATAGTTTCCACATTCACACAGGGAAACCATTTGTTTAGCTTCGGACTTTTAATCCTTTAGCAGGTTGAGTCAGGACAGCTATGCAGAGAGTTCTTCTAACTGGCACTAACATCGACTAATTTAAATTAAAGTTAAGATACATTAATACTGGGTACATGCTGATGACATTAATCTATTCTGAAAGGAAAATTCAGAATCATCAACCTTCAGTTAGGTAGTAATTTAAGTATGATTATACCGGTATTAAAGATATAAAGAGGCTGTTGTTTTGGTTATTTCCTAAAACAGAAACCAGGTAGTCAGTTAAAAGCTAGGTCTTTGGAAATGTGATCAACACAAACAACACAAAGGCCTGTAGGGACAAAAGCACAACATGGGGTGGAGACCAGTCAGCTTGGCTGATGGTGCACAAAAAGGAAAATTCTGGACCGTTTATTGGAATAAATATGGTACATAAAGTTTTATTGTGTTGAGGAAGTTTTGGTTGTGACATAGCAAAGCTTAGCAATATTAGTTCTCTTGGTTCCAATAACTTTGAAGCTGTGACACCATGAGTGCAGTGGGTAGTTGGGTTTGGAAAAAATAGACAGAGTTACTGTTAGTATGAACCTTTTAACAGCATAAAGTAGCAACTTCAGCAGGACAAATGACATCGGACTGGCTTTGCTCTTACTCATGGCTATTTTCCGGTCTTCAAACAGAGGAAATTTTGAAAAAAGGAAAAAAAAAAAAAGGGAAATATACAAAATTCCTTTTTGGGTTTATAAATCTTCCATCAGCTCATTGAACTGCAAGAAAGGGATCAAATGTGAAACGACTGACTATCACAAAGCACGTGCATTTTAGGCAGCCTCTAACTCACCCATATTCCAAGAGTAATCACTTTCTCTCCCACCTGGATTGGCTTGGCAACAAAAGCAGCACCGATGGTCTGTCAGAAAGAGAGAAGCAGTGGGGTTAGACACTGCAAACATATGATATGACTGCTTTCAGCCATGTTAGATTGATATTTGTCAGATGATATGTGGATTTCGTTTTTTCTTAAAGCTTTTCTCATTTCTCTAATTTGTGCCTCCTCGAAATGTACGCAGGTTTTGACACAGAAATCAATCTCATTGCGTCATACTGAAAGACTTCGTGTCTCCTAAAATCCATCTGGAGGACAGAGGAAAGGAAGAGAGATGGCTTGATGGAGGAGCTTTAAGTAAAGATCCACAGGTGTTTTCTACATGAGTGTTGTAGGAAATGTAAGCAATATCTAGATTTTCCAGAAAATCCTAAATATGCACTTTGAATACCATTAAAAGCTATTTTTATCATTTTGACGTTAATTGTTTTTTGTTTCCATTTGTAGATTTTAAACATGATGTGTGTTTACTTACGTCTTCTATTTTAGTGTTTGTGTTTTTGGAGACTTGGAAGGCTAACAGGTTTGCCTAAACCAGAAAGCATTTTGGGTTAACTCCTGCGGCTTTAAAGAGGCTAATGACTTGTATAAAACGGGTGTGACACCTAGCTGGAATAAACGAACCATGGTGGGAAAAATACTTGATTATTTGAGATGATTAATTGGATCATCAAACTTTCTGCACCTCACAGTATTGTCACATGGTGCAATTAGAAGTGGTCCAAGATATAAAACAAGTGCCATTAATCCTGTTGGGTCTAAGAAAACAATTTATGATGCAGTCATATTTAATTGGAATCACTTTAAAATAAGGCTCATAGGTGAAGATGGCTCACTTTGTTAAAAGCCTGTTGCATTGCCCACACCTAAGCTCGAGGAATCGAGAATAAATAAACTGTTAAGTGAGAACGAGGGAGGTCAACACTGTGAGGATAAAACCAATACTTTCACACTCTCACATGGAGAAAGTCATCAACAGAGCAGCTTCCTTTACAAGATAGAATTGAGGATGTCTGCCTCATAGGCCTACAGCTGCAGAAATGAGTGAGCCTTAAATCCTTAGGTGGGGCCTCCTGGTTGTTCCAGACCTACATCTGAAGGTGCCTACTTTGGAATTACCTACCTGAGGAGATTAGGCTTGCAGAGTGGGTAACCACCTCTTAGAACTCTCTTTTACTTGATGTCTTACCTTATACTTTTGCCTTCTAGGCTCCCTTTATTCTTTTCTTATACATGTATAAGTTTACATTTTTTGTCCAACTTTAATGTTTAGATCTGCCATTGATTGGTCTGTGTTTGTCTGTTTGTCAAAGCCCTTTGCAAAGGTGGTATATATAGAATGTTTACTATACTGTTATTATTTATGGAAAATGCAGCATTAGCTTGCAGAAATGTACTAAAACATTACTGCAACCCTACTTCCTGTCAGAGCTTTGACGCATTGAAACAATCACAGACTTGATCTTCTGTTACCACAGCCTCCCTTGGGCTAAAGTTAAAACTGAAGCCCTTCATGGAGGCAGCAGACCAACATGGAAAATTGAAGTGGAGCAGCTGACACTCACATTCTGGTACGGGCCCACCAAGAAGCGATGGTGAACATATCTCTCCACCAGACTAGTCTTCCCCACGCTCTCTTTTCCTAGCATCACCACTTTGACGTCCACACGCATTGCGGTCATAACGACGGCGTCTGGAAAAGCCAGAGAAGAGACCACGGCACAGCAAACAAGGGAGAGCAGAGGGGAGTTGATTTATAAGGCAGCTGAAAAGAGAAAATACACGAGTTAGAGACTGAACTTTATAAATCATGCACTGGAAACAATGAGAAATTACCAACTTAAATCCTCACCCGTTCTGTAAGAGTCTGTTAACACCATAGTTACTTCACAGGGAATCTCACAATCATTTTTTTACGATTTGAATCTCTGGATGCATTTCTTTTCTTATTTTTTCAAAGATGAAAGTGAAACAAAACTGCAGCAGTAAGACCCAACCCTCAAAAACCTACATAAAAGTGGTAAAGAAAAAGGTACAATTGTAGCCTTAATTTCTAGTTTAATCTGACTAACAACATAAAACACGAATTATTTCCTTTAAATTTATAGCTACTACTGCATAACTGCTGCACTTGTCATTGAAAATAACCACTAATTATCATAACGTAGATTAAATATTTATACACTATGTACTTTACTATATTAAGATAACCTGAATTTAAAAGGAAAGTCTTACTAGGTGTGTTTCTATTCCTGAGATATAGAGTTAGCTTTAATTAGAGTTTTACTAAAGTCTCTTTCTTTTATTTTCTCTTAATAAAAAAAAAAAGCAAAGGTGTGGTTTTACTACCTTGCATGAAGCTAGAAATGATCCAGCTAGCTTACTTGCTCAAACACGGCCGAGCATTATCTTTACAGGGTTTCAGGGCTCCCGAGTTGGGCTAGGCTACATATAAAAACATCAAAACTCACCGGGTAGCTAGCTTGACTCAACAAATCTCTCGTAGCATCAGATCTCCTCCCAGCAGGAACCAAAACCAAGGCTGAGCCCCGTCTATCAAATCCGCTTTAAAGTGGACACAGCAGCCGTCGGCTCGCTCTTCATCTCTGCTCCCAGCCTCGCAGAGCCGGGTGGTGTTAGTACTGGTAGCGCTGGCGGTTAGCTCGGTTAACGTTATTATTGTTGCGCAATGAGTGAAATTATAAACAAGCCTTCAGTCAGCTGAGCGTGTTACCGGGACACACGGGAGCCAACTGGTCATGGTTTCTGGTTATCAGGAATCCAGTCCTCTGAAAACAGGTTCAGGTTACTGCCGCTGGGGCAGACACGAAGCTAAGTATCGTCTCTGTGAGGAAAAAAATCGCCAGCTGAGCTTTGTTTGGGTGGGTGGGAACCAAATACCGGAGAGAGGCGGTTTCCAAGAGGAAGTGGACCGAGTTCTATGACACAATCGACGGATGTTGAGAGCCACAAATGACCCTACCACAACCACAGCTTTTTACTGTTATTATTTAATTCAGTCTGCCTGTGTGCACCTTAATCTCATCAGAAAATCACCCAGAAGTTTAAAAAAAGAGACTTAAATCTAGAAGAATACAAGATTACAAGTTGCACACATAATAATAATATGTATTGATTTAGCATATTATACAATTAATTATGGATATATTTATCTCAAGCATTAATTATTGAATGAGACCACCAGGCACAAGAAAATGATCCACTTTTTTAAACTTTATTTTATAAAAACATTTTTATTCAAAAGTAACAGAGAGTCACAAAAAGACATAAAACAACCAAAAACACTTTCACACCGAGTCCAAAGAAGCGCTTTTCTGTCATTTTGCGTCTCTGTGTTTGTTTTATGTGTGTTGCTTTGTTTCATTTGTTTGTGTTTGACTTATAATAACATAACTTTGTTGTGGTGGTCATTTTTATCTCTTTTAATAGGAATATGTAGCCATTATGTAGTTGTGCTGGGACCTTCTAAACATTTTAAGCCTGTTTTTGTTTACATTTACTCTTTTTTTTTCTTTTTTTTAGAAATATATCTTTAAAAGGTTCCTTCATGTAATAATCTGCTAGAGGGTGAAGGAACCTTTTAAAAAAACAAAAAACAAGCGCGTCCATGCTCACAGGTGTACACACGGGTGATCACACCCACAAACTACACCCTTTTTGGCTCCTACCTCAAAGCACACTGTGTTCTGTTGATCTTATGTGCTGCACAATAATGTTTAACATTTAGTATTTACTGTCATATTCCCATATATCATTGTGATGCTGTTTATTCTATTACTCTTGTTCTCTTCTGCTTGCTTTCTTTTTTCTTTCTCAGCAGGTGATCCAGGTGATTGATATATGCATTTTTTTTTCTCTGCCCGTTCTGTTGGTTTTTGTCTTTTGCCCTTCTCCCCCGTCCCTCTTCTCAGCTGTTTCTCTTTCCCTCTTTCTTTCTCCCCTTCTTTCCCCCAGTCAAGTCTGTCCCGTATTCAGTAAGTGAAAATAAAATAAACAATAAAAGGTGAATCAAATGGACCATTACGGCAAGGCTGGGATGGTCAGTTTGGTAAAGTAAATCCGTTGGGCATCTTTCTTTGCCTTTAGACAACAATTCTGATGGCAAAAGAGCCAAACGGGACAGGCCAAAAAAAAAAAAGAAAAGAAATATATCTTTATTTACTTATTTATTATGTATTTATTCTGTTTTGGAACTAATTAAAGACTTATCATATTAATCATTTCTAAAACAGAATTATTGTTAGTTTTTTGTGTAAAGTTATCAATATAATTATTGACGATATCCACCACAGGACCAAGGACATTAATTTAATTCGGGGACCAAATGAAGAAAACAAAGACCACATACACAAAAAAGACAAGATGCAGTCAAAAACATCCAAAATGAACACAAAGGAATTAAGAAGCATTTGTATAAATTTGCATCTCTGTATTTATTTTATGTGTTGTTTTGTTTAATTTGTTTGTTATATTACATAACTGTTTGTAGTCTTTTATATCTTCTTTTAGTGGTGGTTTCATGTCGCACCGTAACTTCCTTGTTGTTTTTGGCGCTTTTTAGACTTTTTTTGGCCTCCACAGATGATTGTTACATGGACAAAGTACGATATCTATGGAGGCACTTAGAAGACGTTGATTGGTCCAAACAGCGGACTGTAAGGGTGAGAGAGAACTGTGATTGGTCCAGGGATCACAAGCGCTGGCTCGGCCCTAAGCCGTTGAGTAGTGTGAGGTCAGGCTCCACCAATCCCACCCAGCACACACTGTTCAGGGGAAAGAGACGACAACATGGCCGAAGCAGAGAGTAGCGAGTTAACTTCTGGTGGAATTTTTCAGGAGATCTTCACTTCTCCGCTGAATCTGACCCTGCTCAGTCTCTGCTTTTTCCTTTTGTACAAAATCTTCCGCGGGGACAAACCACCGGAGCTCAGCGAGGAGGACAAACCACTGCCCAAAATGAAGAAGAGAGATTTTACGCTTGCGGAGCTGAAGCCCTACGATGGGCTGCAGAACCCGCGGATCCTCATGGCCATCAACGGAAAAGTGTTTGACGTGACCAGAGGGAAGAAGTTCTACGGACCAGGTAACGTTCGCGCGTGCAGTGGTTACTAACTGTGGTGTCCTCGTGCCACGAACAAAACCAACGGCAGTTAGTTTAGCGTGGGTTTTAGTTTAGTTACTATCGCTAAATGCAAAAAAACCCCAAAAAACTGTTGCTGCTTGGCACAACTTTTAGTTGACTTCTGTGTCTTGGAGCTGGCGCCACACCCCCTTTAGTTGTTTAACTGAGATCCCGTTTCATAACAGAGGGGCTGCGGTGGCCTTGGAGCCAGAGATCGTCTATGAAGACGTTGAGTTCTCCTTAGAAAAGGGGCTTGATCCCTGCAATGTTTAAAACATACCCGATGCTTCTTCTGTCCATAGAAGAGTCCAGTCTATTAGGGGTTTAAAACTGCAGTAGGGACCATTCAGGGTTTTATATGAGCCCCGGGGCATCCAGGTAATATAGTAAAAGCACAACAGTATGTACTGTGCGGATGGAGGACATAATATAGGAGTCAAAATATTGGTGCCTTCAGAGCTTGACACAAAGTAGATAGACTCTCTAATTGGTCTGAATGTGCTGTTAACATGTAGTTAATGTCTTAATAGCTGTTATCTAGATTGTTCTTTTTTATAGCTTTACATTTGGACTACTTTGAATTAATTTGACTATGTTTTTTTTGTAGTGACTAAGCAGAATTGATCTAAAACTCACTGCACCATCTTATGGTACAAACTGTTATTACACAAAAGTACAACCCAGCCCTGGTTCAGTTTCACTTGATGTCTCATCAATGCAATACACAACGCTTTGGACACAGATATAGCAGTTGTTTCTGATGATAGCTTTACAGAAAATGGACAACAATACGTTTAAACCAAACAAAATCACTTAAGCTGCACATTCCCATTTCTGAAAACCACTTTCTAAGAGGATGAAATGAAAGAGTGAAAACCACCAGGACTGTCATCTTTAACAAGTTTTTTTTAAGTTCCATTTAATTAATAAAAGCCAAAAATATGTTTAGCAAATGGCCAAAAATCTAAAGAAAAGTCTGAGGCCGTGAAAACACAAAATTTAAAAATTAGGTAAGTAAATTAGTTAGGGAAGTATCTGGATGTGGATGATATGATTTCCTGGACACAGTCAATTTTCTCTGTGACTTTTCACTTCTGTGGAAACGGGCACAGAGTGAGCACTCTCGGGTTTTGTCTTATCTAAGAATGTAACCTCTGTTGCGTGTAACCTCTGGACAACATGATAGTCATCTGTCACGCAGATTTTCTTAGTGCATTCCACACCCTGCCCTGTAGCCTAAATTCCACGGTTTGTCTCATTTCAGGAGTTTGGATCACTTATATTAAAATTTGCCCTCAAGTTGAAAAAGCTTTGGCAGCTCTCGAGGAAAACCTTAGGACTGGCTGTTGTTTGCTGTTGGGGGGGCAAATAAGGCTGATTAACTCTATATGCTGATCTTTTTGTTATATCTTTTAAATAAATCCAAACTGAGGCAGGTGGTCACTCACCTAGTTCAGTATACTCTGGGATAAGACAGCATTCGTTAGGAGTTTTAAACACCCTCAATGATATGAACCACATCTTTGGGGGGGTTTTGGGGAAAATGTATCATTATCTGTATTTGAAATAACCTTTCTTTAACGTCAGATTTTTCCTCAGCGCGCTCTGTGGTTTAAAGACAAATATTCAAGATATTTTCCCATGCACGATCATCTGATCGTATGTCTTCCTCACCTTGCAGATGGACCGTACGGAGTGTTTGCAGGCAGAGATGCATCCAGAGGTCTGGCAACCTTCTGCCTGGATAAGGAGGGCCTGAAAGATGAACACGATGACCTGTCGGACCTGAACTCCATGCAAAAGGAGAGCCTTTCTGATTGGGAGTCTCAGTTCACCAGTGAGTGGAAGATAAAGCACACTGTCAGGTTATTAGGGTCCAAAAATGCCACAGAAAAAAATTTAAAAATGTTTTACAATTCTTGTGTATTTTATAATTTACTAAGCATTTATAGTAAAATAAAGCCTGTACTTAGATCAACCAGGGTTTCAGTCAACAAGTATGTCGGGCAGTTTGATTTGCCAGCTCTTAATCCATTATCTCCCTTTACCCTTTAGCCACAAATATTTATTTTCCTCACTGTCAGTAGCCTGTTATCAGATTAAAAGGATATCATATTACAACTGGATTGCTTTAAGATTGTTTCCCATCATGCTCATAGTGCAAATTTGCAAAAACCTGTTGGAACCATGCAGGTGAAAAAGGAAGAGATTTTGGCCATCTCTGCCATTTATGTGTTCAGGGCTTTTTCCTGAAACAGCCCAGAAGCACAGAGAGAGAGCGATCAGAGAATGTCACTGCTTGTATGAGCTTAAACAAAATTGCAGTGATAAAATGTTTGATTTTCATAAGAAAATGAGAAAAAGAGTAACTTGAGGCGGCTCTGGATGAGTTTCATGGCCACCTCACGCAGGTGGCCTTGGTGTGAGGTCACATTAATAAAGTGAGACAGCTGCAGATCGCAACGTGCAGACCTTGGCTGTTTTCCCTTCGGGTCTTTTTTCTTTTTCTTTTTTTAAATTAGATTTTTGTTCTACGTTTCAGTGAAGTACGACTACATCGGCAAGCTTCTGAAGCCAGGAGAGGAGCCGACGGAGTACACCGATGACGAGGAAGGAAAAAACAAGAAGGCGAACTAAAACATGAACCGTGACCACAAGGGGGAACAAGATGCCTTAATGTATATTGGTAATTTGATAACCCTAATAGGGTCGCTGGAAAACTCCTCCACCTTCTGACCATCTACCACTACTTTTGGACCAATCTCGGCTTGTATACAATGACTGAATTCAGTTTAT